TAGAGGAAACAGGAGAAGAAAAGGAGAGAGAGAAATGAGTTTTCTGATCACCAGAACAGTGAAGCGTCCCTCACTGTTTTGATTTGACGGTTCTCCGTGTTTCTCCGCAGTTTGGCGTCATCCGTCGGTTTGATGCTTTCTCCGTTGTTTACCTCCACGAGTGTTTCTCCACGGGCTGGACACAAAGAGAACGAAGTTTCTTTTGTGCTGAGTTTGACAACTTACAGCGTCTCTGAGAGCTGGATGGAGCTCCGCTCGTTCCCAGTCAGGTCCTGATGGAGTTCGAGTGGCTTTGTAGCGGTTTCGTGGCTCAACTTGGGCACTTAGAGCTTCCGCGTGCTCAAGTTGTCGGAGCGTTCGACAAGCGTGTCCTTACCGCCAGGTATCCTGGGCAAAAGAACGAGGTTTCTTTGTCTCTGCTGAAGATTTATGGTCTTAGTTCGCGGGAAAAGCTCCACGGCCTCCCGCACATGCGCAGAACGTGTTTCTGGTATTAGGCGGTGACATCATCACAATGCTTCCGTGTGCAAAGCATCATGGGAAATGAAGTTTCTTGGCGCTGATGTGATTATTTGCTTTTCAGAGCAATTTAAGCACAGTCATTTTGGAGAAAATCACTGCATAGTAATTTCCTCATGAGGTCAGACCCTCAACATCAGGCTGTCTTGTTCTGGTACTCATGATAATAATTCTGTTTCTTGTGCTTACTTCATCTGTATAATGTCTCTTTACTTTTGGTGAATTGTACTGAGTCCAGAATAAAGGCTACTTGGCTGTACAAGATACAAACAAGTATTACGTTTTGGAAATATATGAAATGTATTCAGCCTGCAAATTTATCTCAAATACCAATAACTACCGTGTTTTCCGGACTATAAATCACACTTTTTTTCATAGTCTGGCCGGTCCTGCTACTCCGGAGCGACTTATATAACAAAATATGTAGGCTACACCGCGCTGCTGCTGGCCGACTCCAGCCCAGGAATGAGCTCTCCTCACCTGCCGGGAGGGTTTGAATCACCGCCATCCTCTGCTGGAGACCGTGGCGCACTGCTGCGCCCGTTTTGTTTGTTCTGTTATTGTTACCGGTGCTTGTCTTGCAATGTGAAATGCTTGGTCTCAGATTTTGTAAGAAAAATAATAAAATGTCCCCCCAAAATATGACTTATGTATGTTTTTTTCTTCTTCATTATACATTTAATGGCTGGTGCGACTCAGGAGCTACTTATAGTCTGGAAAATACGGTACTGAAAACTTGCTCAAAGCAAAATATATTTTCATTATGGAAATAAATTATAAACTTACCAATTTAATACTTTTTTACTCAAGGTACTTTTCATGAAAAAGAGCCGCAAACCTCCACCTAAACTTCCTGTGAGCTTCAGGTCGATGGGTGTTCCACAGTTAACTCCGGTTGAAGCTAGATAGCTACATCCGTTACCTTAGCTCCCACCTCCGCGTTAGCTTTGGGTTAGCCAGGGTTAGCTTCAGGTTAGCTTGTAGCTAGTTCGACCGGGTGTCGTCAGTTGATCCCAGCCTTACAGCCCCACCCTCAGCTCCTCCTCTCTTCCCTTTTATGGAATTGTCTGAGCTTGACGGAACCTGTGACACGGTCAAAATGGCGGTGGCGGCCACCTCCCATTTTAACAGAAAAACTTGTTATTGGAGTCTATGGAAACCCATTGTCCATATATTTATGTCGATGGTTACGACTAATTGCACTAATTGCTTTGGATTCACTTCCTGGTGATCCATTACACTGGCTGTCTACAGTCACATGGTGTATGAGGTACAAGCTAGTTTATCAGTACAGGTGCTGGCCAGTAAATTAGAATATCATCAAAAGGTTGAAAATATTTCAGTAATTCCATTCAAAACGTGAAACTTGTACATTATATTCATGCAATGCACACAGACCAATGTATTTCCAATGTTCATTACATTTAAATTTGATATTCATAAGTGACAACTAGTGAAAACTCCAAATTTGGTATCTCAAAAAATTAGAATATTCTGAAAAGGCTGAATATAGAAGACACCTGCTGCCACTCTAATCAGCTGATTTACTCAAAACACCTGCAAAGGCCTTTAAAAGGTCCCTCAGTCTTGTTTTGAAGGCACCACAATCATGGGGAAGACTTCTGACTTAACAGCTGTCCAAAAGACAATCATTGACACCTTGCACAAGGAGGGCAAGACACAAAAGGTGATTGCTAAAGAAGCTGGCTGTTCGCAGAGCTCTGTGTCCAAGCACATTAACAGACAGGCGAAGGGACGGAAAAAATGTGGTAGAAAAAAGTGTACAAGCTCTAGGGATAACCGCACCCTGCAGAGAATTGTGACGACAAACCCATTCAAAAATGTGGGGGAGATCCACAAAGAGTGGACTGCAGCTGGAGTCAGCGCTTCAAGAACCACCACGAGGAGACTCATGAAAGACATGGGATTCAGGTGTCGCATTCCGTGTGTCAAGCCACTCTTGAACAAGAAACAGCGCAAGAAGCGTCTCGCCTGGGCCAAGGACAAAAAGGACTGGACTGATGCTGAGTGGTCCAAAGTTATGTTTTCTGATGAAAGCAAGTTCTGCATTTCCTTTGGAAATCAAGGACCCAGAGTCTGGAGGAAGAGCGGAGAAGCACAGAATCCACGTTGCATGAGGTCCAGTGTAAAGTTTCCACCGTCAGTGATGGTGTGGGGTGCCATGTCATCTGCCGGTGTTGGCCCACTCTGTTTCCTGAGGTCCAGGGTCAATGCAGCCGTCTACCAGGAAGTTTTAGAGCACTTCATGCTTCCTGCTGCTGACCAACTTTATGGGGATGCAGACTTCACCTTTCAACAGGACTTGGCACCTGCACACAGTGCCAAAACCACCAGCACCTGGTTCAAGGACCATGGTATCCCTGTCCTTGATTGGCCAGCAAACTCGCCTGACCTTAACCCCATAGAAAATCTATGGGGTATTGTGAAGCGGAGGATGCAATACGCTAGACCCAACAATGCAGAGGAGCTGAAGACGACTATCAGAGCAACCTGGGCTCTCATAACACCTGAGCAGTGCCACAGACTGATCGAGTCCATGCCACGCCGCATTACTGCAGTTATTGAGGCAAAAGGAGCCCCGACTAAGTATTGAGTGCTATACATGCACATTCTTTTCATGTTCATTCTTTTCAGTTGGCCAACATTAGAGAAACAAACATTTTTTCATTGGCCTTTAGAATATTCTAATTTTCTGAGATACCAGATTTGATGTTTTCATTGGTTGTCACCTATAAATATCAAAATTAAACGTAATAAACATCGGAAATACATTGGTCTGTGTGCATTGCATGAATATAATGTACAAGTTTCACGTTTTGAATGGAATTACTGAAATATTTTCAACCTTTTGATGATATTCTAATTTACTGGCCAGCACCTGTATGGCTGTTAGCTTCCTGGCTTGACACCTGCTACGATATTAACACTAATTAGCATTAAAAATTCATTGTTTTATAGAGTTGATTTAGAAAAACACAAAATCATTCTTTTTTTTACATTCTAGTGAATTTGTGAACATCACACTTAGAGACACAAAGGAAAACAACCAAGCACACACACACACACACACACACACACACACACACACACACACACACACACACACCTAAGGACAATTTAAAGAGACCAGTGAACCTGATAGTCATATTTTTGGACTGTGGGAGGAAGCCGGAGGACCCGGAGAACTCACGCACGGACAGGGAGAACATGCTAACTCTATGCAGAAAGACCCCAGGTCAGGATTTGAACCCAGGACCTTCTTGCTGCATATGCAACAACACTAACCACTGCACCACTGTGCAGCTTGGTGGTAGCTGGGGTAGCCAATCAAATTGCAAGGGTTGCATGTGCTACCCCAGGCCACTTCCTGGACACGCCCCGGCTCCTAACCCAACACATATACATTTCATACAGACATAATTTTATAGGTTTTTGCAACAGAACACAGTTTTTAACTGAAGTATGTAAGCATGCTCTTTATATTTCAGCTGGTTTAACCATGTAATGAATGTAATGAAATCAGCGGTGGTATGAAGGGCAATAAATAGTCTCCAAAATTTAGGAAGAATAAGCAAGTCAGTCAAGGGCCGCAGAAAATTCTTCCAGTGGTCCTAAACGGCCCGCAGGCCACACTTTGACACCCACTACCACTGATACAAATCTTTTCATCTTAAAAATGCAGATAATTCCATGATTTTTTTAAACCGGACTAGGTAACATCTTTTTAGCTTCACCTCTTTGTTTTGTGCATAGTCCTATTTGTAATTTAAACTATGTTTGCTTGTTGAACCCCAAAAACTTTAGGCTACATAAAAGGAAAACACCATACACCAGAAGCAAAAGGTCCAGTTCCTTTGCACCAACTGCCCTGGACGATGATGGTGATTAAATCTCTCCCTTTGTTCTGCCACAATCCTGCACACTAGGTTGAAAAGGAACATTGCATAAGCACTGGTGTGATGACACCAGTTTTGGTTTCAGTCCCGTGGATTACAGAAAATATTGAATTGTTGCTAAATCTCTTGCAACATAAATGCGCTTTAATTAAATAAACGCCTCATTCACACATGATGGCTTTTGCAGTGAGCAACACAACAGATGGATGCAACAGGAACAAACCAGTGGACCTTCTAGCAGCTGGCCATTGTGCACCTTTCCCCATTTATTCCCAACATGTCACAGTCTGCTTCCTCCAGAAAAGCAGACCCTGTCATTAGAGTCATCGCCGGTCTGCGAGATCAGATTTACGACTTGGAAGGATTTTGGAGCTGCTAAGATTGAGCTCATCTCTTAGTCATACCACTTTATGGGTCCTGTGGAGATTTATGCACAATTGACATCAGCGTGACACCTCGTTCTTTTGTCTTGAGTCGCAGTTGCATCCAGTTTGGTGGATGGACTTACTAGACCATGTGGACCTCATGAGTGATGATGTCACCAGTGGACCCAACAGTGATGTAATGAAACTACTGAAAAACTTAGCTGGTGGGAACAAAAGCATAGAATATGCTATCCTTGTGCTAAAGTACAAAAAAGAAAACTATCTCTTTTATTATGTAACAGAATACCTGAAATCGAATGGGCACTTGCCACCAGTAGATCTTCCACTAGAGGGCAGTAGACTGTTATTGGACCGGATGCGGCAGGTTTCTGACTAAGGTACTAATCCTGATATTACATCTGGAGGCGTTAAGAACAGAATTTGTGGCAAGGGGTTAATCTAACCAGGAAATGCACATACTTTATCACATATTTTGCCTTGAAAAAAATCACACCCCTTTGGCTCTCTAGCTAGCCTGACAATATCTGATAGGAGCTCAGCACTTTATACTGAAAGTAAATTCTCAGATTATCTTAATACCTGAAAAAAGGGGGGAAACTATTTAAAAAGAAATAATGTTGTACAAAAAATAAATATACATCCGAATTATCTATTCAAGTGCAATAATCCAAAGAACAGTAGACAATTATAAAACTGACCCACTGTTAAATACCCAATGTTCAAATTTTAATATTGTGAGGCTGAATAAAATACAAACCTGGGAAAGGTTAAAGCTGCATTATGTAATATTGTGTTACAATAAACAATTTTTTTAATCTGTAAACAGTGTATTTTTTTTTCCTGAAGATACAATTGAATCTAGTAGTTTTTGCCGAGGTTGCATTTAGAGTTTGCAAATCTATTTCTTCTGAAGGGGTTTGGGTCAGTACCACCTCTGGTTGTGCTTGTGCAACACATTCTCACTCCCAGCGCGTCAAAAACAAACGCTTGGTCAGCCACCCTCCACGTCAGACCCCTGACGCCAAAAGTGCCCTTTTTCGTTACTTATGTGCGAAAAGGGGTTTTTCCCTTATTTGACTGCAGATCCCAATGCAGCGTAAAACTGAAGCCATGGGATGTCCGCTACCGTTGCATCCCAATGCAGCGTTACACTGACGTGATGGGATGTCCGCAGCCAGGGCACCAAACAAGCTCATTGTACCTCACCTTAACCTTATCCTCTTATTTAACCTTCCCCTCACCCCTATCCTAACCTTAACCATCTTGCTAGCGAACACGTTGGTGATGTGTCGATCGCTCTAAAAGCCGGCTCTATGAAGTGAACAGCGGGAGCTGCCTCGTGATTGGTCGAGTTTGGACCGAGCCAACGCGAGGGGGAGGTTTCAACTACCAAGGTGGAGGTTAAAAGTAGCAGTTATGTGTAACCTCCCCCTCGCCAGATGGTATGTTCTAACGTTCCCCTTGGGCGGCAAATACGAAAATTCACAGTCAGACTCTGACTGTCAGAGTCAGAATGCACGGGAAACAAACGCTTGATCACAGTGAGAGTAACGTTTTAGGTAGCAAGAGGGTTAAGGTTAGGATGAGGGAGAGGGGAAGGTTATAAATAGCGAAACATTAAGGTTTAGGTGCGGTTAAATGAGCTGGTTCGGTGCCGCATCAGCGGATATCTAATCACGTCAGTTTTACGCTGCATTGGGATCTGCAGTTACAAAAGAGAAAAACCCTTTTCGCACATAAGTAACGAAAAAGGGCACTTTTGGCGTCTGGGGTCTGACGTGGAGGGTGGCTGACCAAGCGTTTGTTTCCGACGCTTAGGGTGTGAGAATGTGTTGGCTTGTGAGAGCGTGTTCCAAACTCGAGCTGATGTGTCCCATCAAGGCAAACACAAACACCGTGAAGCCTCATGAAAAATCCAAAAGGGTTCAGATGAAGGCAGCTGGACTTCTTTGGTTTCTTGAAGATGTTTTGCGTCTCATTCGAGGAGCTTTGTTAATTCTGACTGGAATATGGAAGGGTCAAGCTTATAAACAGTAACTGTCTGTTGTTGCTTAACGAGCAGAAACTACCTATGAATACCGATCCTCCCTACCCCCGAGGAGTCGTTGAAGTCGTTTGGGCACATTGTGTGAGAATGATTGTCGCTAACTGATGATATTCCCCCTAGCCACAGCCATTTTTCTGTCCTTAACTGGTCGTTTTTAGAAAATCAACATAAAATCCTGATTATACTAATTTTTCTTTTTTTATGTCTTCATAAACAGTCACCCGAGTGATCTTAAGCACCGTTTCCAACGCCACCACTCCTCTGGCAGTTTTCATGGCAGTTTTAACCACAACCACGTCCAAGACACCAACCTGCCGCTAGTGGCCGAAGAGCACGAAGAGAACCACGACAAAGGGCCGATGTACGACCCCAAACAGGACGTTTTTGCCACCCTGTTTGTAAGAGTTCTCTCTTTTATAATAGAAATTGGACATAAATCTGCATGCGTGTTGAAAAGCAGCAGTTTAGATGAAGCATTGCAGGCTGGCAGTGCTTTTTAGATTTAGCTAACACTGAAAGTCATGATTAACCATTTTTGACGAGTGGATCCAAAAAAACACTTTTCTATTTAAATGCACCAAGATAAAAGGCCTTGTTTTGCTTTATGGCTTTCATTAATATTTAAAAATGACCAGTGAGCATAAATTTGGCTCCTGATGTAATGCTAACGGCTCTTGGATTGTTCTCTCTGTTTGCTTTTTACCGCATGTGTTAAATTATACTCTTAGTCATTTCACAGTTGCTTTGAGTTAAAGCTGCTTGGTATGCTGTGAAAACTCAGTCTTCCCAGCTTATAAAAACATCTCTTCCAACAAAGAGCCAGCTGTACATCTGTTTGGTTTAAAATAAGCTGTAAGAGATGTTTTGGTCATGGATTCTCACACATTATTGGGTTTGAGGCTCTGTTGTTGTGGAACACCGCGTTGTTCAGGCCAGTCAAGTGACTAATCTTTGTCCTGTTTTTCCTCTCAGAAATCTCTCCACCCTCTTCCTCCTGAGCATCATCCAGCTGCTGCCAGATCCCTGAAACTCCTCGCCAAGATTCCCAAAGATGCAGAAGCTGTCCTCGTTTTGGTTGGTAAGCTCTAGGACAGAGCGGACCAGTTAGTCCTTCCTTTATGTTGGTGTGGGTAACATTCCTAAATCTGTTTGGGTCTCAGGTTGTGTTGAGTTCCTGGAGCAGCCGGCCATGGCCTTTGTAAGGCTGAGTGAAGCTGTCCTCCTGGAGTCGGTGCTTGAGGTTCCTGTTCCTGTTCGATTTATCTTCGTTCTGCTTGGACCCTGCCAGTCCAACGTAGACTACCATGAGATTGGACGCTCTTTTGCCACTCTCATGTCTGACAAGGTACCTTAATAAATAAACAACTGAACCTTTAGACCTAAATCTCAGCTTCCCTCACCACCCAAGGTTTGAAGGCCTTTGTGAATCAGAGTCAGGAGGACCCTTTATTTGTGCCCAAGTGAGCCACGTGTAAAAGGTGCAATTGTCCACATGGCCGTGGTTTCACCAATAGCAATGGAAGGCAGTGGGATCAAGACTGTTTTGTGGGAGTGTTGGTTTCATGTTTGAACTACGGATGTCAAACGATTAACAGTTTGAATCAGAGTGTTTGTGGATTAATTTCCATTAACCGCGCATTCGTCTGCATGAGCAAACAGACTGAAGGAAAAAGAGAATGTGCATGCACTTATCGTGTTTATTGGACATCTTGAACATTCTGGTAGTAACCCGAGTGTTCAGACCACTAACAAACTTAATGTAAAGAAAATGTTGTGATTTCAATTGCCAACAATAGAAGAAATCAGAGATGTTGTGTCTTCACTTTTCATCATAGAAAATTAACTGATTGGTGTTAGTTCTTTATATTTTCAAGGGAAAATGTTGTTATTGATTTTCATCCAGGTAAATGCAAACACAAGAGGGAATATCATGATTAAAACTGTTTTGTTGCAGAACTTCCATGAGGTGGCCTACTTTGCAGATGACAGGCAAGACCTCCTGAACGGTATCAATGAGTTTTTGGACTGCAGCATCGTCATTCCACCTTCAAACGTGGAGGGCAAAGACCTTCTGAAGACAGTGGCAGACTTCCAGAAACAGCTGCTCCGCAAAAGAAAGGAAAGAGATGGGAAAAAGTACCACTCCACATTTGGGCTGGAACAGGAACCAAAAGGTAATCTTAAATGGTCAAAAATGTAAAGGTTTGTTCTCAGAATAAATATATTTGAAACATAAATTATATGTGAACCCTTTAATAACTTTTGAATGGTAAGACGATACATGCCTGAGGAGAGTGTCCAACCGTTGTAGGTGGTTTCCCAAACACAAAATATAGTGGCCTGAATACATGACCCTGATGTCCTCCATCCTAGGCTTTACTTTGGTGTTTACATGATATAACCTAATATTATAATTATTATGATACAATTTGGGAAAAATAAATATATATATATATATATATATATATATATATATATATATATATATATATATATAAATAAAAAAAATTTCCTTCCGAATCATAAATAATTCCTGAAGAGGGGAAAACTCTGGATTACTGCTTTAAAACTGATATTGAAACTGTAACTATTAGGTTATATCATGTAAACATGTATTGTTATGTATTGTTTACATATTGTTACTGTATAACACCCGTGCCTTCCTTCAGAGGTGAGTCCAGAGGAGGAGGAGGAGGCAGAACAGGAGGTGGACCCGTTGAAGCGCTCGGGAGTCCCTTTCGGAGGCCTGATCCACGACATTCGTCGGCGTTTTCCGCACTATATCAGCGATCTGAAAGACTCCCTGGACATGCAGTGCATCGCTGCTGTCATCTTTATTTACTTTGCCGCTCTGTCACCCACCATTACCTTTGGAGGGCTTCTGGGTAATCTGAAACTACTAAATCCAGTAGAAAAGTTGTGTGTGGTCATGATAACCAGCCATGTTGTCTTTTTATATTCTCTCCAGGAGAGAAAACCGAGGGTTTGATGGGCGTGACCGAGCTCATCGTTTCCACTGCGACTCTCGGAGTGATTTTCTCTCTGCTTGCTGGTCAGCCACTTCTCATCATCGGTTTCTCTGGACCTTTACTCGTATTTGAAGAAGCCTTCTATAAGGTACTCCTCCTATACATCAGCTGCTGGTCAGCCATCACCTGGTCAGGTCACTAACAGCTGCTTCCTCTCAGTTCTGTCAGGCCTATAACTTTGAGTACCTGACGGGCCGCGTGTGGATCGGTTTCTGGCTCATTGTCATCGTCCTGGTGATTGTGGCTGCAGAAGGCAGTTTTCTCGTGCGCTACATCTCTCCCTTTACTCAAGAGATTTTTGCTTTCCTCATTTCTCTAATTTTTATCTATGAGACTTTTTCAAAACTCATCAAGGTAACTCCTGCTTCTCCTCGATTGTCTGCATTTACTAAAATAAAGCCATCAACGGGGTTTTGAACACGTTGTATTTCCAGGTGTTTCAGGAGCACCCTTTGATGGCGGTATACCCCACCGACGCCAGCACCACCGACACCTTACAGAACTTTGAAGGTCCAGTCTTCAACCAACCCAACACCGCCCTGCTGTCTCTGGTTCTCATGATGGGAACGTTCTTTGTTGCATTCTTTCTCAGGAAGTTCAGGAACAGTCGCTTTTTAGGTGGCAAGGTAATGATCTTTATTAGGAAGGGTGGAACAATAAAGGGAATTTTGTTGATTTCATCTTTTTTTCAATGGTTATGTTAGAACCTGTTCCCGTTCTCGTAGTTTTTACGGGTGCTTGATATGATATTTACCTTCTCAGTGGCCCAGTGAGTGTCCGCCCTGGGATTCTGGGATTCAAAACCGGTTGGGTCACACCAAAGACTTTGAAATGGGACCCAGCTGAGACTCAGCTCTTAGGGGTTGGATTGGGGGGGTTAAACCACCAAATAGTTTCTGAGCACAGCCACAGCTGCAGCTTACCACTCCCTGCAGGGATGGGTCAAATGCAGAGATGTAATTTTACCAGTGTGTGATGACTAATGGGACTTTGACTTTAACTTATGGTATTATTGAATTCAATTCAGTTTATTTATATACTGTAGCACCAAATCCCAACAAGATTCATCCCAAAGCACCTCACAAAGTAAAAGTTCCAGTTGAACTAAGGGTTCAGTTCGTTGTGACAATTAGTTAAAGTTTCCTATGTAAGGAAACCCAGCAGACGCTGTTAAGTCGCTGACTTGTGTCAGAGACATTATAGCAATCCCCATAATAAGCAAGCATGTCCTTTCTGTCCTCAAACAGGCACACCGGAGCATTTTCCCCCTGAGTATGACTTACAAGGCATTCATTTCTACTAGAGACCATGGCAAATGTAATAAAATACAATCTAATTTCAAGTAAAAATTTTTATATAGCGCCAAATCAGACAAAAGTTGTCTCAAGGCACTTCAAAAAGTCAACACAGTTTACAGTTCATGTCATTAAGCCAATCAGTAAAAAGTTTCCTACATACGGAACCCAGCAGGTTGCATCGAGTCACTGACTAGTGTCAGTCTTTACAGCAATGCTCATATTAAGCAAGCATGTAGTGACAGTGGAGAGGAAAACTCCCTTGTAAAAATAAGAGTAAAGTTGACCTTTCATGTATTTTGACTTCTATTTTCCCAGAACTAAAATTAAACACAACCGAAGTGCAGTCCAGATTATTCTGATATCAGATTCTGGACCAGTAAACGTTGGACTGTTCAGTCATTATCACTGCGGCAGAAAGTCTGGCTATACTGTTTTTGCCCTTGTATGACTACTTGGAAAATCTCTCTTTTTTATAATAATAAATTTCTTATTTTCAGGCCAGGAGAATAATTGGTGACTTTGGGATCCCAATCTCAATCCTAGTGTCGGTTCTGGTGGACTACTCCATCACCGACACCTACACCCAGGTGACCTGACACTCCGCAACACTCGCCTGTGTTTACAGACATGTTTCTGGACCTGAATGTGACTATTTTTGTTTTAGAAACTCAATGTGCCATCGGGCTTTTCGGTTACGTCCCCTGAGAAGAGAGGGTGGTTGATCAGCCCGTTTGGAGACAAGCAACCGTTTCCGACTTGGATGATCGGAGCTTCTATTGTCCCCGCTCTTCTCGTCTTCATTCTCATCTTCATGGAAACTCAGATTACCTCGTATGTTTCCTCTGATCTTACACGCCTATACAGCTAAAGAATTTCCTCTGATTTATGTTTTTTTTTTTTTTTTACCATTTAGACTGATTGTCAGTAAAAAGGAGCGTCGCCTCGTAAAAGGTTCTGGTTTCCACCTGGATCTTCTACTCATCGTTGTCCTCGGCGCCATCTGCCCACTGTTCGGCCTGCCGTGGCTCACCGCGGCCACGGTGCGCTCCGTCACTCACGTCAATGCGCTCACTGTCATGAGCAAGGCCACGGCTCCTGGAGAGAAGCCCATGATACAGGAGGTGAAGGAGCAACGACTGACCGGGCTTCTTGTGGCAGTTCTTGTCGGTAAAAGGAAAACTGTCACTTCTGAACATTTTTCATCCTATTTTTGTGAAACCCACTCAGATGTGCGGGCTTCCTCCATCAGGTTTGTCCATGGTGATGACTGACGTGCTGCGCCTAATCCCTCTGGCCGTCCTCTTTGGCATCTTCCTCTACATGGGCGTCACCTCACTGACGGGCATCCAGCTGTACGAACGCATCACGCTCATGGTCACTCCTGCCAAACACCATCCAGACCACATCTACGTAACCAAGGTAACGCCCTGCTAGGGTTCGGTGAAGTTCCAGAGAAAACAGAGGCTCTGGGAGGCTGAGGAGTCAGAGACACATAATTATCCTTGGAAAGGATATTCAATGACCCAATTAGCTTATTTACTCCTTGGAGAAATCAAAGTATTTGCAGTTTAAAGCATTCCAGTAGAAACGTTGCTTTCGATCTCCTAAGGTGAAGGCTCTCTTTTGTCTTTCCTCTCTGGGAAGGATCTATAAAGACACTGGCCACTAGGTGGAACCAAAACCAATTCATTTGTTTTTTTCTCTTCTTTTTTTGTCACCATTTCTAACCAGGTGTGTGTGTGTGTGTGTGTGTGTGTGTGTGTGTGTGTGTGTGTGTGTGTGTGTGTGTGTGTGTGTGTGTGTGTGTGTGTGTGTGTGTGTGTGTGTGTGTGTGTGTGTGTGTGTGTGTGTGTGTTTCAGGTGAAAACGTGGAGGATGAATATGTTCACCATCATCCAGCTGGCGTGCATCGTGGCTCTGTGGGTGGTGAAGTCCACCGTGGCCTCCCTGGCGTTCCCCTTCATCCTCATCATGACGGTGCCGCTGCGCCGCCTCGTTCTCTCCAGGATTTTTGAGGAGCGCGAGCTCCAGGCGGTACGTTTTGTAAGGCAGGAACATTCCTGGGGTGTTTGGGACTTTGCCACGATCATCAGGTCCCACATGGCCTCAGTTTACTTACTTCACAGCCAATTTACCACAAGATGGATGTTGACATGTTTATATATCTTTTTAATTATGGTGCTGATTGAAGGAACGCCACAGATTAACATTCCTGATGATTTTCTGCTCTGTGATAAACCCTGCTCCTGATGAATTTCAAATTATGTGTCAATATTTATTTTGCTTTCTGTTCTAACCAGAAACAGAGGCTTCAATTTTCCAGGAGCTGGTATTTATTATCTTGAATAAATCTCAAAAAACCTTTTTATGTCAGCGCTGTCAGGTTAAATATATCAATTTCCAAAATGTCAGTTTTATGGAAGCTTGAATAACAAGCTTTGTTCTCGATAATCGTTTTACGTCAACATTTATCCAAAGGTTTGGAGCTGGATCCAAGTCAGGGAAGATGGGGAAAATCAGCACATTTGAACATGAAGTACGAGACTCGCTGTGTTTTTATTCAGATGTTGCGGATCGGAATTTTTATCGGTGAAGTTGGAAACAACGAGTTTTACTTAAAGGGACATTAAGGGAAGTTTGACAGCCAAAACATGTATAGAAATAATACATTTCTTCTTCATACATTCTCCTGCAATGCCCTGGTCCTGTAGAATGAGGCCTGGCATTTTTACTGTGATTGCCTGTTTTTCTGTAAAATCACAGAAAAAGAGAGATGCTCAGGTCGAGCAGGCTGCTTCATGCGCGTTCACGCTCAGGCATCGCCCGTAGCATTTGCTACCCGTAGCTTTAGCAGCAGAGAGAGAGGTAGTGCCACTTTGTCGCTGTTCCTAACGCCTAGTGACAAAGCTAGCTACATTTCTGAGGACCCTTAGCTACTTTCTGTAGAACTTTCTTCTAGATATTTCCTGCAAATTGGCAACAAAATAGCCATTTTCGCTCCGAACCGTTCTTTGAACGTTGTTTCAGCTGTCATCAAGGATATAAATGTTACAGATACAAAAGATGTCACTGGCGCTTTAGCTCACCTAGTAATGGGCTCGACACACGGGAGGCAACATCGCCTCTCCATTAATTTTCAATGAGACATGCGCGACAAAGCGATAATCGCGGGTCTCCCTCCTACTAAGCAAAACGCTAAAATTGTGCGTGAGAAATTTTGCGCTCGTGCACGTGTCGTGCACAGGCGACCCAGCGACGCGATCCCAGAAAGTTGAAACATTTTCAACTTTTCATCGCTGTCGCTCGGACGAGGACCAATCAACGGAGGTTTCATTCACTGACCAATGGGTGGACAGGATGCTCCGTACACCTCCGAGCAAACATGGAGGAGAAGTTGATTATTATTATGTTTTATAGTAAAATCAGAAGTAAGATTTCACATAACTCTATCAGCACCTTGTGAAACATCATATCTACCACTTTTTTAACTCTGAACCGCTTAAATAACCTTAATCCCCTCCAACCTGACACAGCCAAACAAAACAACGGAAGTTTCGATTTCGCCATGGAACAGAACGCGTAGACGGCTTTGCTGCTGCCGCGGATTGCCTCCCGTGTGTCAGGTAATAAAAGCGACAGCGACAAATTTAGTTGATCGCGGTCGTTTGTCGCCTCCCGTGTGTCGAGCCCATGAGACGTCGGACTCTCGTGCAGAAGACTCGGGTTCGATTCTGGACGTTAACCTAGTTTTTTCAGTGTTTATTTTTTACATTAATGGTATATTTTTTTACAGTAAGATGCCCAAATTTTTATTTGAGACTCGCTGAACGGCATTGAATTCACAGACAAAAAAGATGTGGGTTCAGCTCTCATTTTGGAACAATTTTTCAAGCAAGGGAAGGGAATGATCTGAGCATGCAGGAGGACTGACCCATCATAAACTACTTTCCACTACTTTCTTCTACTATCTGCTCTTTAACTGTATTATTTTCTGCAATTTCAGCTGTTAACTTTATTTTCTCTCTAAGTGTTTTTCTCCCCAGAAGAAGCTACAACGATGTTCTGCTGAGCTGTGGTGGCCTCATGGAGGGGGCCATCGTCTAGCACACTGCTGCTAACCACTAAAACATTCTCTCTCTCCTGATAATAACTTTTTGCTTTCCTTGACGTTGGACGTGTTACTGCTAGTTTACCCATTTAATTAGAGATCCACTAGGATTAATACAATAAAGATTATCTCACCAAATAGAATGTTTACTAAGACATCACAATAGAACTATAGACACATTATTGTGTGTGCGTGTGTGTGTGTGTGTGTGTGTGTGTGTGTGTCTGCTCTGTCTTCTCGATTCCCAGTGAGTCGTGGAGGATGGCTGCTTATACTGAGTCGGGATTCTCTGGAGGTTTCTTCCTGTTAAAAGGGAGTTTTCCTCTCCACTGTCGCTGCATGCTTGCTTAGTATGAGGATTGCTGTAAAGCCACTGACACTAGTCAGTGACTTGATGATATTTGCTGGGTTCCTTATATAGGAAACATTATTTCTGATTGGCTTAATGAACTGTGAATTGGAATGTTTATTATGTGAAGTGCCTCGAGACGACTCTTGTCGTGATTTGGCGCTTTATAAATAAACTTGAACTTAAACCTTTGTCGGCTGTGCTGAAGAGAAAGGTACAGAACCAAATTATTTAATTAATTAGCTGCACGTTCTCCTGTCCTCTGTCCTCCGGGCCACACATACACACACACACACATATTCACTGTTTCCGCTACTTTCTGCAGTCGGCGTCTCTCTCAGGAATTAGTGAGCCATCTGTCTGTGTCCTGTGAACGTATTTAGAACAGTAGAACAGGTCTGATCAGTCATTTGAGTTGCTGTCTTGTTGCTCCAGTGCTGCCACATATAACGCCTCTGCCGCATCACATGTCTCCCTCTCCCCCTTGGCCATGCACGCACCACCACAGCGATCACATACAGTTAGACTAGACCACGCAACCTAAGGGGAAGGAACAGGATTTCCCCAAACCATCAAGGTTGCCACAAAGAGAACCGGCACTGCCCGTGTATAACACTGGAGGGAGGAAGAGAACTTTTGTGCGAAAACACAAATGTAAAACAATTCAGTTTATTTATATAGGGCCAAATAACGACAAGTCGTCTCAGGGCACTTCACAAAGTAAACATTCCAATACAGTTCATTTCATTAAGCCAATCTCAGCAGGTTGCATCGAGTGTCAATGTCTTTACAGCAATCCTCATACTAAGCAAGCATGTAGTGACAGTGGAGAGGAAAACTCCTTTTTAACAGGAAGAAACCTCCAGAGGCTCAGTATAAGCAGCCATCCACCATGGCTCACTGGGGATCAAGTAGGCAGAGCATGCACACACACACACACACACACACACACACACACACACACACACACACACACACACACACACACACACACACACACACACACACACACACACACACACACACACACAAAACATACCAAGTAGTGTTTCTATAACTACATTGTGATTTTTTAGTAAATTTTATTGTCTTTATCTTTGTAAATCTATACCTAATCCAACAGGTGAACTAGTAGTAGCACATTCAATGTCAAAGAGAGTAAAATGTTATTATCAGGAGAGGAAGACTGTTTAAGTAGTTAGCAGCAGTGTGCTAGCCGATGGCCCCCTCCATGAGGCCACAACAGCTCAGCAGAACACCAGCGTAGTTTCTTCTCAGGAGAAAAACTTAGAGAAAAAACAAAGTAGAAATAGCTGGAAATAATGCAGTTAGAGTGTAGTGGTAAAAGAAAGTAGTAGAGTGTGGAAAGTGCTGAGTATATCCTCTAACAGTTTAAGCCTGTAGCAGCATAACTGCAGGATAACATAGCCTTTTAGATGGAGACATGTCAGAAGCAGACCCAGGGAGATTCTTCTATTCCCTGTCGTACACTTAACCTCCCTCTACTTCTCCACTTGTCCAGATCTGGGCTAACATCAAAATTTAACTATAGCCCCTATCAAATAAAAATGTCTTCAAAGTAGACAAGGTGTCTGCCTCATGGACTAAAGCTGGGAGCTGGTTCCACAAGAGAGGAGCCTGATAGCTAAAAGATTTGCCACCCATCCTTAGATATTCTAGGAACCACCAGTAAACCTGCAGTCTGAGAGCAAAGTGCTCTATTAGGAACATATGGAAAAAAAATGCAAAAAACATGTAGTATTAAATATTGTATCTCCCTCAACAGCTACTGTATTTTAAGATGGCACCTGACCATGGAGTGTCGACCACAGTTTATATATAGAATTGTAAAATTTCAAGCTAATAGGAATATTCAGAATAGACTTCAGTGGGAAATATTAATGAAAAAGAACAACTTTGTAAACTATAATTTGATAGTAAGCAAGCAGACATGTTACACTGTGGCATAAGATCATCATCGTCCCTCAAGTTTCAGGTAAAACTTGAAAAATTTGAGTGTGGTGCAAAAGTCCATTGATTTAAATTATTCATCCTAGACTGAGAGACCCTTTAAAGGGTCAGGAACCCTTTGCAGGTGTTTTGGATTTATTAGCTGATTAGAGTCAAATTGACAGCATTGAAGACTTAAAGCAAACAACCATTGTTCCTTGAAAGGTTTCCACCCTAAACTGAGCCATTGACAACATTTTCTTTTAAATTTGAATGTAACCAAAGATTATTTGTTTTTACACAGCTGGACTGCGACGAGGACTCTCCCAATTTTGACGAGGACGGTCGAGATGAGTACAACGAGATCCACATGCTTGTATAAATCTAAACCGGATCAGGTTCTACTTTTGTCCCAATCAAATGCTCAAGAGCTTCTCTGAAAACCTCAGCGGGTGGAGACTGGAGCTTGTGTGGTTGTCTGGACAAAAACAATTCCTTCCTTTGGTTTTATTCCTGTTTTTTAAACCAGCGCAGTGGTGCTGGTGTTTATGTCAAGACTAATCTCATCTTGTTTTTACCTTTAAATCCCTTTAACTATGCCGCACTTTGTGGGTATAAGTGCAATGAAAACAGTGACTTGTAGCACAACAATGGGGGGTGGGGAGTTAGACTAATTTGTACAAAGAAAGTGTTTTTGCTGTTTTTCAGGGAGTCTATTTTCATGGAAAATAATAGACACCAATCAAGGGGACACATTATGCAGAACTCACATTTTGCATCCTTTTGTGCTGCTATGTGGGGTTCTACTGCCTCTGTTAATACTCCATCCTTCTAGTTTTAGGAATTATGTGCCTAAAACAAGCTATTTCAAAGAGTCCCCATTTGTGATGTCACAAACAGGGAAATTGGAAAATAACCAACTCTCACATGCCAGAGGGAGCTGCTGCTGGAGGAGCAGTGGCTCTACTCTGAGCCCCTCCCGTTCACTCTCATCCACTTCCTGACCATGGGTCCCCTACTAATAAAAAATCAATGGGAGTTTATGGGCCCATAAGTTATTTTCTAATCCCGTTTGATATGTGCCATGGATTTCACATATGATGTCTGTGAATTTTAAAGACACATTTTGATGCCAAGTAAAAGCTTATTTTTAACAGGCGGCAAATGTTATTTTTGTCAAAACACAGATGATTATAATTTATATCGAAGTATAACATATGTGTGTTTCAGGGCGTAAAGAAAAGTGAAACAGAAATTTTATTATATTTATTATATTATTTATATAGGAGACCCATGAGCCGACTGGAAGGGGAGGAAACTTAGGCCCAATCTCAATACTCGCACTGCGCCCTACGGTGTTCAGCAAAGTGCACTTGGAGAAAGTGTGTTGTAAGGCTTCGAGTGTGTAGTACACAAGAGTGCAAGTAAATGCAGATCTGAGACAGAGGGCATTGCATCAACCGCAACACATGCCGGGTTTCTGGTCGCTGTGATACTTTTTTTTTAAAAACCTTTATAAACAACTTTCAAACAACAAATTATTTAAAATAAATTTACTTTCATTGTAGCTTTGTCTAAAAGTTTAAGAGCATCAACTAATTGTCCTAAAATTAACAACTTTCATTAGAAAATACATATTTTCAAAAAAGGCACTTGAGCATTTTCTCCTGCAGCAATGGATTGTGGGTAATACCCTTCACCAAAGTCTGCAGTGATGCGGACATCGGTGAAGGGCGGATCAAGGGTGCAAAAGGGGCGTAATCGCGTAATTGAGGGACGCAAAGGTGGAAGTTCGAGTATTGGGATTGGGCCTTAGGCTCCATATAGCAGTCTGAATGGGGATGGGTGGGCGTGGTCAGCTCCAGCTTGTTTTCTTAATGGGACAGAGCCCTGAATTAACTCATTCTGGAAGGTACTGAAACGGTCATGAATAAAACTGCTGAAGTCGTATGTGAGAGGGATTTTTTGCAAAGAACTTCATATGTTTTGTATCAACCATAGAACTATTATGAATTAAGAAAAAACGTTATATATGGGCCTTTAACTAGATTTACTGCCTTTAATTTAGCTACCTTTGTCTTAAAGCTGCATCAATGTTATCCTTTTAGTGTCCGTACAGACTTTTAGCACTTTGAGCAGGAAAATCATTGTTATGATTTTGGATTAATTATTATCTTGTAAACATTTTATATTTATTTTCAGTTTATTTGTACCTTTTGGACTCATTCAAACAGAAAATATCTCATCTATATACTTGTTTTTCCTCGCATTCTGTATGATTTAACACAAAAAATTTAGAAGTTGTTTAAAAAACGAAGCAAAATCTTAACTGAAGATGTATGTGAGGTTAGCTTTCTAAAAATGATGGTTTTGTTTGTGAAATCACATTTTTATGAAAATTACTGTGACATTAGGGTTGGTGGCCTCTGAACGTGTCTCTGTTGTGCAATAATGTCTCTTCTGCTCTCTGATTGCAGTGTTTCCACTATAAACCAAGTCCTGTTTGTTGTAAACATCAAATTGGTTGAAAACAATCTGTTTTTTGTTTGAACTGATCATGTATAAAGCTGTAGTTTTTTATTTTTCTTTAGCATTATCTGACTCTGATGTTTAAATTTCATTAGAAGCAGAAATTGACCAACGGCAATGTTCAAGGTGCTGCTGGTGGTGCATCGGGATTTCCATGATAACCACCAGTGTTCCATCAAGGTTGCCATGATGGAATTCTAAATGGTTTTTAAACAAAAGCATCAGAAGCATGGTTTTCTTTACAGATTTTTACATGTGACCAGCAGGGGGCGCACTGAAGAAACTCCAAAAAAATACATGGGGGGATACTTATGCCAATTTTTGATCCACCCTGGCCCTTATGACAATGTTAAAGTTGCACATGATTACCGTAACGACTCTAAAGATAATCTTAACAGATGTGTGTCTTTGCTCTGAGCGTTTCGGTTTGCGCCGGAGAACATCGAGACTGCTCCAATCACAAATCTGAGCTTTTCAAACACGTTAGATTGTCTTGGTATGATTTTCTGGGACAAACACGTGTGCTGCCTGTTGAATGGGACATCTAGCCAATCAGAAGTGAGCGGGCCATCACTCTTGTGCTATCCTCTTATTAACTATAAAAAAATCATGAGTTCTTGTTGGTGTTCAGATCAACTATTAAATTATTTTCTGTGTGCCAGAAATAATGAGAAAAACTATTTAGGAATCATGAACAAGAAGTTGAGAAATAGTACTTTGCTTTCTTATGATTGCGTGATATCGTTTAATTTGCTACTGTGGTGATACGGTAAATAGCCTATATTTATTTAGCCACTTCTTTGGGTTCAACAACCCCCAATGTGCTTCACAACACATTCACCCATTCACACACACACAAGCTACAATGTAAGTGAGGCCTGCCATACTCTGGCGCCACCCGTCCCTCTGACCACCACCAGGTTAGGAGGGTAAGTGTCTTGCCCAAGGACACAACAGGAGCATTCTCTGGTTGGAGCCAGGTTTGAACCTGCAGCCTTCCAATTACTGGATAGCCCGCTTCACCTCCTGAGCTGCTGCCGTCTCTTGACATCGCTGTGGTATCGAAGCAGTTGGATGTCATTGCCTAAAGATATGTTGAATCATCTCCTGAACAAATGCTCAAGAGCAGGGTGAAAGAGGACAGGGCTTTGCTCCAGCCGTGCAGTTTACTGTATTTTTTTATTCCCACTAATTTTATTCAAGACATTTTCAATAATCACCAACATTAGAGGTTAAATAAAATCCTATAATAATAAAAACTAGACGCCTTTATTTTCTGTTACTGTCCTACATGGCCGTATGAGCCAAGTAGGATTTCTGTCTCAGGGGAAACTGACCTTTGATCTGTAAATGTTGCTTCTCAGCCTTTTAGTTTGTGGACTTTTTTTGTGTGTTCAGAGATTTACCCCATCCAACACATGCGACAAAAAGAAATACAGCTTTTATGTTTCTGAGTGAGAAAAGACCTGTAGTAATTATTCTGGTCATTTAACTGTAAATCATGCAGAGTTTACAAAGACCAGAACAACTTAAACCTGCAAAGTCCTCGTATTTGTGACGTTTCATGCAAAAAAAAAAAAAAAAGTTAAACACTAAACTATTGTGAGAATGACATGACTCAAAATGAAACTTATGCAACATAATATTGCACTTAAATTTAGAAGTATTTATTTATTTAAAAATACCTTTAAATTGAAGTATTTATTTTGTATAATTTTAGGGTGAATAAATAAAATAATAGAGTTAAAGCATAGATGTCAATGCCACTTCTACATCACAGTCTAATAGTAAACGTTCTGCTTTTGCTGATCAAGTAAAGAAAACTGTTTCACTGAAAGTAGAAAATTCACTCAATTCCAATTTCTTTATTTTTAACAGGAAGTCTGAATTTTTGAATAATTCAAACTGATTAAATGTTTAATAGTTTTCCCCTCATAATACACTTTTTTTTTTCTTTTCTCTTCTGTCCTGCTTCTCTGTGGTAGTTTTACACTGAGCCGACGCCCACCTATGGACCGATTGGCCGGCTGAACTTGTGTAAATATCACACCTACCTAGGAGCCTCTGATTGGTGCGGCCGGGTAGAGTCAGCCAGCGGCGGCTTCTCACATGTGCGATTCATTAGCCTTTGGGATGCAACAGGGTCAGCATCTCGGACCGGGCTGTGGGACAGTCTGCTGCGAGCGCTCCTGGATGGGAGAGGCGCCCATGGAAGCACCGCTGCTCAGTGAGAGCGTAGGAAGCTGTGTGTTTCATGTCAGAGTCTCCTAAAGCAACACTGCTCACTCCTGCTTTTGTTTACTAACTTGTGGCGCTTAAGAAGGACATGATAGATAATTTTTTGTGCCTCTTTAACAACTTGCCCACATGCTCGGTCATATCCACATTCCTGGGAAGGCTGTGTAAACACAACCTGGTGGCGTGGGGGCGGGCTGTCCTCACCCAGCCCAGACCGAGCTGGCTGAAGTGTAAAAACTCCTTAAAGGTGCATTTGTGACTCGCATTGTCGGTATCTTTTTAACTCATTCGCTGCCAGCCGTTTCCTAATCGGTAAAGCCCTTTGCTGCCAACATTTCTCACCGTTTTTACAGCTTTTTTAAGAGTCACACGTTGCGTGCTAGGATGATGTCGACGCCAAAACAAAGCGGAGATGCACCTCTTACATCAGGAAGAATCCGCGTTTTTTGAGTGTTATCCTTTCTTTCATAATCCGTTGTTGAATTGTGATCGGCAGAAGCTTTTCCGGTTCGCGCCTCACTTTTTTTCACAGCAGCAGCCCAAAACGATCTCCTAACACATGGATTTTCTGTTTCCTGATCACGTGACGTATGCGGATGAAGATCGGCTTTAGAGCTGAGATGTTTGTTCTCATGGTGCGGGGGCTCGTTCCGACGCCCAATCAGTATAAAAAAAATGCAAATGATGACTTTAGTCGTCATTGGCAGTTAATGAGTTAATTTGGATGCCAAATCAGAATTTCACCAATTACAATAATAATCTCACCTTTTTTCAGCAAACCGCTGTTTCCACTTTTCTATTTACATTTTGACTTTAATCTTGAAATAATTTGAATTTGTACCCTCTTAGTGGCCCTAAAGCGCCATTGCAGAAAGTCTTAGTTAACATGCCGCACTAGAAGATGGCGTTAACAACATAAAAATACATAACAGCGTCTTTATTTTTAAAGTATTTTCTCACAATAATGAACACTTTCGACTCTCTGGCACAACTTGACATAATTTTATTGCTTTGGAAGTTTTCTATTTATATTTGCCTTGCTCATTGATTAAAAGACTTACGGTAGTTTCTGCTGCCCAAGAAAACAAAAACCCTTCAAAAATCCACGAACTGAGTGGGAATCAGCCAGAATCCTGCAGAAAACATTCCTCCTGATATTTACACAACAGAAAAAATGAAATTGTAGGTGTTATTTTAGATTATGTGAAGTGTGATGTGTGACTGTCTGACTGTTAGATGTTTAAAAAAATAGATGAAAAGCAAAACACATATTTGGTCCTAAAAAGGTTCAGTGATGGGAGTTCACCACATTTCATCACTTTTTCTCTCCGTGGTTGCGAGTCAGACCACCCAGATGAGTCCAAGACCCGGTTCTGTTTGTGTAAAATATTTATCAGACATGTGTGACATGAGATCAGGAAAGGCTCCTGAATTTTTCTGCTTTTATGTTTTGTGAAAATATCTCTTGAATATGTTTCTTTGCAGTGTGTATCAAAGCATCAGTTTACCAGAATTGGGGTTCTAATTTCAGGCGTTAGTTTGACATTTTCCTGACTCGTCATGAAGTCTCAGTTATTACAGTCTGACTTGGGGTTGTAGATATTTGGCCTCCAGACAAAAATTGGTTTTGGGGCTTTTTTTAGACTCCTGGGGGAAAAACAGCTTTTTGCTGTCAGGCTGCAGGAATAGTAGGAAAACCGTGAACTCCTCTGAAAAATCCAGAGTTTTTGTCACGTTTAGTGTTAAAATTATTACCTGCATGGTGGGAATTTGTTCTACTGAGAAACAAATGTAATTTTGGTTGGATGACATTCTGGATGTTTGCATCAGACTGACTCCGACTGTACGAACTCCTAAACAGCAGGTCCATCTTCACTGTAAAAAAGATTTCACAATTGTTATATTTTGTCGGAAAGAAAAGTTTATTATGTGAAAAACAGAAAAGTTGTGCAAACTTTTCTTTCTCTTCAGCATAAAGCATGCCATTATTAAAATAAAAGACATGGCGCTTTTATTACTGTTACCATTATTGTTATAACGAGCGTTCTGAGTGTGTTTTTACAGAGAAAACTAGAAAATAATGAGACTTTTTACTGATAAGAGGCTACATTCATAGCAGTTAATTGCAGAAACTATTCGCCTGTTTTCTTGAGACTCCATTTAGATATATATATATATTTTTTGTTCAACATGATGCTAACGCTTCTTGGTACATTGGAGTATTTAAATAAAACATTAGATATTTAAATTGATCATATTTCTGTTTATTGTAGAGCCACACGTTCAGTGTGTTATTTGACCTGTTTGTCATCTTTTATTTTCTTTTATTTATTCTTTTTTAGCTTTGAGTGTTGGTTTCATGATTCTGTTTTCTAGTTTTTGGGTTTGGTCAGTTGTTCACCATCTTGCACAGCTGACCTTCATCTGTTAATCCACCCAGCTGCCTTCACTCAATAATCACCATCCCAGCTTATAAAAAGTCCTCTGGTTGGCCAGTTCTCTGTAGATCCTTCTTCTTCTTCTATGGGAGACAAGGCAGGCTAGACGCCTTCAGGGCGTATTGCTGCCCCAGCAACGATGGCCAATAGTCCAAGATTCACAACCTCCTGTGCACGCCAAACTTTCGAAGAAAAGCCAAAAGCGCTCCCTCTACACGTCGATCTTCCAACTCCAACAAAGTACAAACACAGTCACACCTACAGTCCCCAGAAAACCAAACAGGGCCTGCCGCTCAACCATGTACAGGCGACAGTGCAGAAGGACATGAGCAACCATTTCCCACTCCCCGCAAGCACAACAACCGCCCGGATGTCGACCCACCAAAAACAAACCTCCCCTAAGGCAGCTATGTCCCAACCTTAAGCATGTCAAAACCACAGAATCCATCCTCCCACACTCAAGGGCCGGCCCACGGGCCCCTACACGACGCCACAGCCCGTAATACGTCCGCCCAGCCATCCCCGCATCCCAGGAGTCCTGCCACATGTTTAGAGGCACTCAACCAATCTCAGAGCGACACTCCGGTAGACCCAACCCTACCCTGGGGGGGGGGGGGGGGGGGGGGGGGGGGGGGGGGGGGTGTCTGTAGAAATGGGACATTTGAGAGACCAAATATTCTGGCAAAAGAAGTGAAAATGGTTCTAAAGAGCTTGTTTCCGAATAATGTGATGTGGGATGGCCAGATGAAACTTTCCAGCCAATGTAGACAATAGTTATCGAATCTCCATAGACTAAGTGCTGCCCCCTGCTGATCAAAAAGCCACACATGAAACAACGCCAGGCGACAAATAACTTTTATTTCTAAATTATTCTAAAAGCCAGTTTTGTATAAGAAACCAAAGGCAAGACTTTCAAAATAAAGCACCATTAAAATGAACTTTTAAATCTGAGCAGCCACTCTTGCAAGAACACCAATATTCATTTACATATAAAGTATGATATTTAGTCTTCTTAGTTTTTGTTGTTAAAGCTTTTATTTATTGTAAATAGTGTACAATATTCTTCTTCCTTTGTATGGTGATTGTATGAAAAAGTAACAAATTGATGGATTTTAGAAAACTTTAAAAATAAAATCATTTATTTAATTAAAAATAAAAATTTGTTTGGAAAATGTTGCCCTTGTTAAAAATATAATTTAGCTACTTGGAAATCGAGTCCGCTTCATTGATCGCTGGCTTCATTTGCACAGAAAAGTTTTTGTGAAAAATAAAATGAAACTAGAACTGCAAGCAGTTATCAACGGGTTCCAAGCCCCCAGCGCCAGTCGCCCACCCGCCCCGCCCTCAACTTCGCCGGTCCTCACGCGGTCCCACCCCAAAAACACGTTCTCCCGCCGGCGTCCCGTCAGCTCACTTCAACCGGCGCAATGAAAGTAACACTCAGGATACGTCATTAAACCTGCAAAGCCTATACACATATCTTTCAGAGGCATGGCTGACTTCTCAATCGTGATTACAATGGAATTCCACTGTTTCCTTATTAAAGAACGTGAAGATTTAATGAGTGAGATTATCAAACAATGATCTATACATCAACAGAATATTACAAATAACATAAATACTTGATAATGTCTTTGGATTTAAAAGATTTTCAACAAAAACTACGAGTTTCATTTTGTGACTTACTGACCAAATGTTTTAAAAAATCATGAAAAATACACAAATCATCCTAAAATTACCAAAATATTCTCACATGGCAGTGTTAACATGCGGAATAATATGATGTTGTTTTTAAATCAGTTGACTCAAAGCTTTTTTGAAGAAAAATTGGGAAATATAACTATAAAGGTCACAACAAAAATTCAAATATTCATAAAAAAATAGTGCTACTTTCTAAAATTAGGAGAAAAATCTCAGATCACCATAGGTACATGTGGAATGTTGTAAATGGCTTATATTTACTGTATTCCTAAAAAAACTTTCTAACAAAAATTAATTACGTTGTTGTCCAACTATACAGAAAAACTGGTAAAAAGTTAAAAATTCATTAAAAATCTATGCTTTTGTACAGAAATCTCAAAATATTCCCAGGTTGCCTCTGTGATGTGAGAATTCTTCTTATTATTTTGTTGGGGTCATAAATGTAAAACTGTACTTACAATAAAATAATATTTGCATTAGTGGCTGTAGACAAAAATATGTCCTACAATTAAACACAAGGGGGAGCTCAAATCAATACGACATTTTTTTTCTTTCATAAACCACCCAAGAGTGAACTTTGTGGCAAATTACAAGAAGATTGTGAGAACAGAATTTGCGCTACAATTGCTAGCGTAAAAATGTATTTTTGTAAATATAAAGCGCAAACCTCTTCGTGGAGCTGCGGCTATCGTGACATAAGCTCTAGCCTATCCAGTAAACACAATCTGGAAATCTTAGCCTCTTACATGCAAATAGTGATTTTTAGGAAATTTTTCAAATTTGAAATTTTAAATGATCGTAAACCACGCCCACTTTGATCAATCATTACCATATTGATAATGTAGTCTTAAGACTCTATAGTGATGACAACCACTAAGTTTCGTGCAGATCCATTTAGCCGGTTCAGCAGTATAATTTCTTCCCAGTTATAGCGCCCCCTATTGTTTAATCAAGTTGAAAACCAGGACATACACTTGAATTGACCTTAGGTATGACTGTTATGAACAGCTTTGAAAAATGTCAAAATCTTTTGAAGTTACGCTAAAAAAACTTTTTCATTCCCAAAAAATTATTTTAAAAAATCATATAAAAAAAAATAAGCAAATTATCCAAAATCCCTTCACAACTTTTGGTCAGCCGCTCCTCTTCTCTTGTCAGGGAAAGTTGTGATGTGATTGAGTTTGACGGCCGGGAGGAGTTAACGAAAGTACGTTTGACTTACTATGCAAATTTCTACTAATTAGCATAAGTTTAAATTATTTTTTAAAATACTCTTCTAAATTTGACTGACTCAATGAACATAGTGGATGAGACCATTTGTTTTTTTACGAAAGAAATGGGGAGAAAAATGCCAAAATCATTTTTGGGGTACCACAGCGCCACCTATTGGACAAAATTCAAAAGTTTTTCTGTGATTGTAGATGTCACTATGACAGATAAGAATTGTAATTTTCTGTATAGAATATGTATTTTTCATGAGTAAAAGGGCGAAAATTTTTAAAGCCTATAAGCCACGCCCACTTTTTAATCATTTTCAAAATATAGCTTAAGGGTCCGATGATTAACATATGTGCCAAGTTCTGTGGAAATCCATCAAGCCGTTTAGTTGAAACAAACTTTTTGATTCTTTAGCGCCCCCTATTGGTGAATCCAAACAAAATGGGGTAGATAGGGCTTACCACTCATACTTCATAAGGGTCTAGAGTCTCATCAATTTATCTTGAGAAATGGTCAAGATATCATCAATTACCACATGTGCTAGCTAGCGCACTGATTTTGACATGGTGTCATTAGCCCAATTTTCAATATTTCTGCATTTTTCTTCATCACAACAACTTACCTTAGTCCATAGATCACATGTACGAAGTTTGAAGTTGATTCGACGAAAAATGACGAATAGGTGATTAAAAGTAAGTTTTGCGTTTTTTGCGATCTAGCAAAAAATCTAGTTAGGCGGAAATGGGCGTGGCCAATACAAAAAAGATGGAGAATCATCCAAGGATCATGTACATATAAAGTTTTTGACTGTAGGACCTACGGTTTGGGAGCTAGTAGCTGAAACGTGTTGACCTCCGCAATAGCGCCACCTAGGTGATGCGGGGTCCAAATTTTCGAATCTGAGTAGCGGTCAGGATTTTCTATCAGACTGCCATGTCAGATTTTCCCTGGCAATTTCAGGCTCTTGCGCCCATACAGACACAGCAGAGAAGAATAATGAAGAATAATAAATAATGAAAAATCCGTAGAAAAACAATAGGGTTCCCTGCCCTTTGGGCTTGGAACCCTAATGAAGGACGAGAGGGCATAAACTGTTTTTACAAAACAAAACCTTTCTTTAACAAAACCAGGAACTCTATAGAGCTCCGGGAGTTGACGTCACTTCTCCCGGCATGCAACAGTTCAAATCGAAACGGCGCCAGATTGGCAGGCAGAAGCCGGCAGCTGGACTATTTGTTATTATCAGAAAACTCAATCAGACAGGAAATATGGTAGTTTCCTGTTGTGCCCCAGGATGCAGAACAGACGCGGACGACATAAGGAATGAGCCATCTACAGGATTCCCCAAGATCCGGAGCGCCGCAAACGTTGGATCATTGTAATAAAACGCGCTAGTGACCGGGCGAAAATGAAGCTGTGGGAACCCGAGAGTAAAGGATTTCACTTATGCAGCGACCACTTCATATCAGGTACTTAAACCAACGTTTCCTCAACTGTGTATGGTATTTATTTTAAATGCTTTTATTACGATTCTTAGTGGGCTTCCTACACTTATTTTGGCGTGGCTTTTTCTGTCTTATTACTCATAGCAACAAGTAAACATCACGTAAAACATTGCCTCGTGAGTTCTGCGTGCTGCCGTTTACGTGTTTTATGATCA